AACAAAGGATTTCTGCCTGATGTCCCATGATGTTGTCTGATGCTGCCAGATCCCGCGTGGGCCTGTGCTGCGTTGATGTCAATGAGGAATGTGCAAACTTGCAACTTATTGACAAAAAACAAAATAAGCTAAGAGCCGGTAAAGCCGTATCCACCTTATTCCTGCGCCCCATGATGCTTTGTGTGAATTATGGGTGTGACTTCCGCCGCAAGCCGGAACTGCCATTGGTTTGCATGTTACCCTAACGCTAACCGGCTTTCGTCGGAGCTTTTAGGCTATAAAATATGTGGGAACACCAGCGATCAAATCTTAAATGTGACTATTGGTTTACCGCAACCTACAGCTGTTGCGGGGAGGGATGACAACTTGAAGAAATGGCCGCATTTCTTCAAGTCGCACTAGCATATGTAGCTACCTGCACTAGCATATGTAGCTACCTGCATGTAGCTACTTCACTGACTCACTTGCTTCAGATGCAGATGTGGGTTATCTTGAACTTGCTGCAGCCACGAACTAAATGTGGTCTGATTATTAGGGAACATCTAATAATCAGTAACAACAGTTCCCCGAGCTCCACAAGGGCATCTTACGACACTTCCCAGTGGCAAGTTTCTCTCAATAACAGGTTGATGTGTGGTTCGGTTCGGCAGCAGCTGCGGTTATTTCTCTGCTGATTTGCAGCGACACTCAGGAAGAACTTCGAGGTTCTGGTTCTGATGGATTAAATAAATCCAGATATTTTATTTTGTCTAATAAATACAATTTCCAGGCCAAATCATAATGATAAAGGCTCAGATAATGAACTTTATTATTTTTTAAATTCAAACGAAAACTAAGATTCACATCACACCGAGCTGATATTGTGTAGTTCTGGTGTTTTATACTGTCGGAACAACTCAGATCTATGATAGATCTCAGATCTTCTCTGCTTTTCTTTATTCCTGTCAGAGAAACGAGCTGCTAGCAGCGATGCTAATTCATTCCAGTACAAAACTTACCGATCTTGTTCCTGTCGCTCCTCTGATTAAACTCACAAATCTGTACTGAGCAGCTCTCTGATAGCAGACAGTGTGTCTGTAAACAAGTTTTTACTAAACATTGTATTAAAACCGAAAAGAGATGTAACTTCTATCATGAACATAGATTAGCAAAATAAACCTACAAATTACAATGAAATAATGCTACTTCCGCTAGCCACCGGAAGGAACACCCATAATCGTTTCCCCAGTCAGGCCCCAGGAATAAGGTGGATAGGTTTTCCCTCCACTCCCTCTGAAGCAGCACGGCTAGGCAGGTAGGAGGCGTTGTCATGCCAACCACCTGTTGGGATTTCAAAATAAAGCACATTTAGAAGTTTTATGATATTTAAATGAATTTAAAACGGATTATGACTAGCATAAGGTTCTTTACATCGTTTTAACATAAATAATGAAACTTGATTCGGACGGTGTGCAGAGGGATGAGAAACATTTTCTGGTCCGTTCTGCCGGTTCCCCCTGCAGCGGTCCGAAGCATCCGGGTCACTGGACCTCCAGGTTCTCAGCGATCCCACGCGCTCACTGTCTTTCTATGTGGATTCGGAAAAGTGACGATTGGACAAGACGATCCCGTCGTCTGAACGTGGCACCAAGACCACCAGAACCAGAACCGGGTTAAACCGGAACCGGCCCAGCTCATTCTTTTCGCTCTCAGTTTCCTGCTGCTCTGTGTTGATGCTGATGACATCATCAGCAAGCGTTACTACGGTTACCACGGATGCCGTTTGTGTCGCGCAGTGCTAATGTGGGGCTTTTATTGTGGCGGGGCGCCGCCGTCTCCAGTGTAGAGTTACACTGAATAGATGGGACTCCAGATCTACAGGCCGGCCCGGATATGGGATCGGATCAGAGCCTCTAGTGCTGGCTGAGCCTCTGTGACCCGACCGGATCCGGCCTGTTCCGACCCGGCTGTGTGTTCCAGGTGGTGAAGATGTTCTGGTTCTTCCTGGACCGGCCCCGGGTCCAGGACCAGCTGCCTCCCTGTCTGGCCCGGCTGGAGGATCAGGTTCTTTCGGACCTGGACCGGACTGAGCTGGAGTTCTACAGCCAGAAGGAAAAACCCGAGCGGTGGTTCCGGTTCTGCCCGGCCGGTGCCGCCCGACTCTGCTGGAACCGCCAGCTGCGGCGCCGTACCCAGGAGACCCTGAGGAGCTTCAGGACCATCCAGAACCTGTAAGGCCCCGTTAGAACCCCGGGAGTCCAGGACGGGTTCTGCTATGACTCTGTTTCAGGTGTGGGGGCGTGGCCCTGGCGCCGGCGCTGCTGCAGAGGGCGGAGCAGGTGGTGGAGCTGCTGCAGGACTTCAGAACCAGCACCCGGTCCGATTGGAGCGCCGGGCTGGAGGAGGACTGCGGTTCCGTCCTGAACCAGAAGCTGGTCCAGATCGACCCGCCGACCCACCTGGAGGTGGCCGGCAGGAAGCAGGTGGGTCAGAACCGCGGCGGACAGAGCAGAGTTCCAACCAGTCCCGTCTCAGCAGAGGTCAAGGGTCGAGGAGGGACATCTGAAACTCGAACAAGGACGCTCAAAGTCCCTGGATGTGCTGTCGCTCCGCCCATTTTAGCGGCGACGCCTCCTTCTGCAGATTTAACCCACAATGCAATGCGGCACCAACAGCAGTAAACGGAGGTGAGGACAGAAATGTGTCGCTCTTTTATCGCTGGTCAGTCGTCATAAAAAGTCGTTCCAAAATATTTGTAGGCGTGAAAGTCGACATCATAGCTCCAGCTGCCATAGACACAAATACGTAGAGGGTCATAGGTCATGGGGAGGGTCAGAGGTCATGGAGCGGGTCAGAGGTCATGGAGCGGGTCGGCCCGTTGCTGCGATACGTCACAGCGTCCGCCATATTGAATGTGGCCAATGTGCCAGTAAGCTAATACAGGTAAATGGACCGAACTTCACAAAGTGCCGTTCTACAAAGGATTTTAAATTAATTCCTGTCATTGACACATTTTCTCACACATTAATATTTTTGGCAGAGAAATAACTAAAGAGAGTTTCTAACTTTTGATGTGATTATTTAATGTTTTGGGGCATTTCTGAATAAAGAGCAGAATGTTTTATTTGATAGAAATGATTCTGATCATTTTTATATTAACATTGATGAACAGACACTTTCAGCATGTTGGGCTCTGACTCGTAGCATCTATATAGCTAAATACCGACATGACCCTAACCACTCAGTTCATGGTTTAATATTTGCTCCGTGTTTCTGGTGCAGCCTTGCTACCTGCTGCCGGTTTTCCGTTTGCAGCCATTGGAATTGAGACATTAAGGGTTTAAATTTGCGGTCAGTAGCTGTAAGTAGCAGAATATGAAATAAATATTTTTCCCTGCCCTAACCTTATATTTATTTAGTTAGTATAGATATTTTATAAATTGTCAAAACAATGTTTACTTTCAATACCAGTTACTTTTATCGCTAGCTAGAAATTTTTGATCATGTAAATTTATTGTAGAGAAAATATTTTAATGCAATGCCTGTTAATGATCAGAGAACTATTAATTTCCTTCTATGTCAAAAATACACATTTCCCTCAGATTACCATTTCATGCATGACAGTGAATTCTTATTTTTCATTGTTTTCTGCAGGCGGCTCTTCAGGTGAACAGGCTGCAGCTCCTCATCCTGCTTCTCACCTTAAACCAGAGGTTCCCAAACTGTGGG